GTACTCGCTTACTCGTACTCGTATTCGTCGACTCACTTGCCCGCTAGCATTTCGGTATTACTCTTTCATGCTTGCTTAACGTACCTGTAAATTGGATATCTGTGTGTGGTGCCATAATAAACGTAATCAATACTTCGTATTCGCCTTCTGATCTAATGACGGTTATCAAGACGAACTGCATACGAAGTTTAAAGATTATATAGAATACAGACCACCACACATTTCTGGTAAAGCCCGAGTTTTAGTAAGCTATAGGCTTCTTTTCCGATGAATGTAAGAAAATGTACCACAATATTAACATCTTCCTTGATCATAGCACAAATTCTGAACCTTTCCATGTAATCCTCAAAAGCATCGAAATCTGAATGCATGTCCAACCATTCCATCACAGGCTCCATCGCAACGCCAATGTGATAATTAGGAGTATTTGAATTATAGTACAAACTAAGAATCCCAGAAATAACGCAATTGGATCAAGAAGCACTAAATAAACACAAACGAATGTACTATATTTGGAATTCGAAATCAAGCATTCGACAAGTACAAAGGAATCATTAGTTCATTCAAACACACTTTCCCAGAAAACTGACTCCTAATTTCGATCTTGCAATCTACTGAAATTAGTGCATTCAGAAAAAGACTGAATCAAGAATCTTGGTTGTGGAATCTATAAATTTTTCATAAATAATCTGAGGTCGTTAATGAAGATTCACTCGGACAAATTATTGTGAAACTTCACATTAAAATACCTGGTTAATCATGCAGAGCAAAACTTACAATCTAGAACTACAACTGTTTTCCCCCAAACAAGAAAGCTCATAAAATGCCTTGAAGGTATTCAAATAGTCGTACTAAAACAATACAGTAGCCAACCTTCATGTTATCAGTGAGGCTGTTGGCTCTCTCAACGCCAGTGATAAAACCCCAACATTTCAGTTTATGCAATTATTAGGAAACATTCCTACACTGACTGATTACTGGGTTGCAATCGACATTGTATTTGCCTTTTGTTTAGTGCTAATATACTTCCATCAATCAAAGTACAATGCCACTATGATTCCGACCAAATCAACATCATGTGTCATTATTCGATGCCCCAACCTTACAGGTGGTCAGTTACCGACCAAGCAGTTTAGTAGTGGCATCTCAAAGTTAAATATTGGATGACGTGGGTTTGAACCCAACAGAAATGTCAGTTCTCTTAAGATCGCAGGTAAGCTTGATGACCAGGGTCATCCAGCACAAAACATATACGCAAACGTCCTCCAGATCATCTGAAGTCACCTATTACCTAATGAAAAGTTGTCTATGAAGGCACCTTATAGTGGAACTATTTTTGATCCTATCAATCTCTCAGCTTTATACAAAAAGCAATATTAATTTCTCCAGCTACCTTTAAGCAGACTATGGTTTCTTAATTAAACATATTTCTTACAATCAGTGGTAGATAATCTTCGAGTGACGGATCTATGGTCCATTCGATTGAAGTAAGCACCCACTGTCATGAAAATGAAACCACTTCCACACGATAGTGTATTTATGCTAACTGTTTCTTTATCTCAATGCTTTAAATGTGCGAACTCGACAGATCTTGATTAAAATGGGACACTATCTCTGTGCTCTTAAATTTGCATCCAATGGTGCCCTCTTTTACGTCAACTGACAGATTGAAGACGCCTATAAGTTTATACGGAATTGTGCTAGTGTGACAAGCAGTACACTAAAAACTGTGTGGTGTTAACCGTCCTTACAGCTCGTAATTTAAGAAAATCACTCCTGAGTGTAACCATCATCTTTTGCCATTGGACTGTCAATGATGAAAGACAGTGACAGAATTCTTTAGATTTTAATGAACGAAAATGAGACGGGTCGTGAGACCTGTGATGTATGGTAATTTGTGTCAGCAAAAATCTCTAAAAACATTATGCAGTTCTGGAAGGTGACAGAATAATTTCCGATCATTCTGAGGTTTCAATAAGAACAAGACAAATTTTGTTGATCTGACTAGTAAAATCAATGCGTCACATGGAAACATTAAGGTGAATAACTTCATTTGATGGTTTTTAGACTTGGTCTTAGTTCAAATAACCTATGCAAATTATATTTCAAAATCGTTTACGTTTTAAAAAAATATTTGATCATATCAAGTTATCACTTTATTTACTAATTTATTTTAACACATAGATATTGGTACAAGGAGGTACCAGATACATATGCACCACACAAATCTCATTCGATATGTGTGAGGGCTGTGATACTGCCCGGGTGCCCAAACCGAAGCAGGTAGTTTTCTTAGGGGGCCACTCCCCGAGTCTTCGACCTGAAGGTCTGGTCCACAAGACAGTGGAGCATCGTAAGGAAATGCAGTCCCATGGATGCCGGTGACCAACAATTGGTTCATACGCCATTTGTTCCCGCAGGATACTGGAGCCCATGTGCACCATCGGTTTGGGATCCGGTTAAAGCGCCGGACATTCGCTTTTCGTCCTCTCATTTTTGTAGACAACACCCCTGCCACGAGAAGGCAGTGAGTAGGACTTCCCTGGCAGAGGCTATATACGCGTAACCATGTAAGAGTTTCGAGAGGGAGAGCGGACTCTCCCCACTCTCGGCCGTACCAGGGCATTTGGGGGTTGTCACTTTACTAGTAAATTAATCTATGTCGCTCACTAAATGTGTTATGTTTGTCCTTGATTCATATGAAAACTTGGGTCAATTAATGTCTCCTGACCAGTTATGACAATCGTATAACGATATCGTCAATCATGTTATCATTTCTATATATAAAATCCTTTGCATGGTAAATCCAAAAACATCTTTATATAACAGTGAAACAGGTAAAAATCGTTTGGGTCGAACGAACAGAAATGATCATTCCTCCAGAAAATATATTTACAGTTCAAATTAGTTGGAAAACTTGATATTATTTTTGAGTGATCCAAAACCTGAGTGTAGCTAACCAGCTATTAAAACAGATTCCACTGAGGTTTCGAAGAGATCTACTAAAGATGAAAATCACCGTCTAAGTGCAGTGATTTCAGTGATGCAATAAAATTAACAGAAAACCTAATGTTCTTAAAATTATTTGACTTGGAACCTGTATTTTTCACTGATTGCCTACACGTATCATAGTTAAATAAATATGATTGATACAATTTTGTCTAGATACATGTCTATACTAATATATATAATCTTCAGATAAACACCAGAACAAAGATAACCTTGCAAAATGCATTTAAACCAAACAGTAGACACTTAGATTTTCATGTAAATAGAAATTACACTTATCCAACCTAATACGAATGGAAGATGGACTCTACTGACCTAATCGAGGACTGAAATATCAGTTTGTACAAACTACAAAATTAGTTCCTTATCTTTCCTAAATATGTGATCGTTCATAAGTTTCTCTGAAGTCAATGGGATGAGAACTGATCGAGAAAATAAGCATATAATTCACCAACCACTGGGAATTTCGAAGTGAGCGATGGCCAATAACTACTTAGAACAGGAATCCCAGAATGTGATGTAATCAGATCATTTGTTTAACAAGTTAGTGTTGTAACATCATGAAGTTCATCCACGTTATGATGGCATGAAATACATTTAAACTGAAATAAATAATGACTTAACTCATTCCATCAACAATGGACTGAAGTAAACGAGTTGGACACCACTTATTTGTCTTCGCTTCACCACTAACATTTCAGACTCGGTAGTAACGTTAGGTTTGATGAATTGGTCGAGTTGTATCTAGTTAATAAATTCCAATATCAATCTATTTACTCCTTTTAGTATTTTGATGTTTCTCTAACTTTTAATAAAATTTCACCAGTGAGAATTAATTCTTCAATTCTATTGATTTAATGGAAATAAACACCTGGCTTTATCAGAAAACCCACATATCTATAGTAACCATTCATATAATGTAACGAAAACCAATAAAAACGTGTTATAAAAAAACACTCAGTTTTTACATACCAACGACAATAAGTCAGACTTGTAGCTATAGGTCAGTAGTAAGTAGACTTAATCATACATTTTCACACTACGCCGACTAAAAAATTCGAACATAAGTAGCAATACCACTATCACTACAAGATGCAATTCAGCGATTCATCTAATGACCACTACAATGTATTCTGCATCGAAAGTGGTAAACAATAAAAATGTAATCCTATTCCATTTCAAACCTATGATAACTTCCTATAATTATAGAAAAAAAACAATCATGAACATGCCTGTTTCGTCTCACATAAATTTTGTTATTTTTCAATAATTTTTATCATGGTTAAAGAAACAAAGTTCATGCTGCACAGTAGAATGTAAACTGGACATGAAAGATAAGAAACAGGAAAAGAAGACAACTAGCCAACGATTGAGATACTTTTAAACGTATGAACAAAAAAGATGAGTTAGAAAAGTGTGCATAAGTCGTAAATACAAAACAAAGACCACAATTTTAGTATCGACTACAAAGCGTTAAGCAACACATTTAAAAAGGGGAAGGTAGGAACAAAATCATAGAAAAGAATAACAAGAAAACGCAACGACTAGACCATAATACTTAGTTCGGAAAACAAAAGAAATAGCATAAGTCATATGAAGATATTAAAGAAAGTGATTAAAAGGGTCTAGAAGACAAATCTTAGAAGAGAGACAAATAGGCAGCTGAGACAAACCATTTAAAGCAGATTCTGCTGTTATGTTAACCGATCAGGATATAATAACGCAAAAAAATATATCAAGAGTTGTAATAGTAAAGTAACAATAAAATTTGGGTACATAAACTCCAGAAAAAAGGTCAAACTCTCTGAAGGTTATCAAAATGCAAAGTTGGGTCCCCGTAAGACGGATCACGAGTTTCGAAAAGCTCTTAAACAGTTAATAAAACTTAGTTTTCTTTCCACACTGCTGTCCGGATAAAAATTAATAACGGAAATACAGCAAAATAAGAATTTTTGATGTAAACATACGATAAGACAAAAGCAACTCAGTTCTTATAATGTCTGATCGCTACTACATCGTAGATGAATTGAGATGGCATCTGAATGCGAAACTGATGGAGACATCATAGGAAACCTTAAGGTATCAGTATTTTGTGAATCTAAACACACTTGTCTACTCTGTAAACCTGTTGAAGTTAAATTTGACAAGATAGAACTACTGCAGTTAGAACTATTTAAATTTGAGTGGATGAAAGTACCGGCTGGCGATGATGACCCAACGGGACCAAATGTAGTGAAATCAAAAGAGTTGGGCTTATCATCAGTGGAACTTCTCATCCCGAATTGAAAACAACTAGGTTCATTAGATGTCATGAATATTGAATGTGGGTTGAGATTAGTAAAGCTGTCACATACTGAACTATTAAAATTCAAACTACTGTACGATTGAGATGATAGTTCGTCCTGGTGACCAACTGTATGCACTGGATCTGTGGAATATGAGTCAGCTACAATCCGAGGACTATATGAACTAACTGCAGTTGGGGTTGTTGACATGGACTCAGTGACACAAACTGACGAATTTGCAACCACTTCTAAAGATGGCAATGATAATGTTCCATTAATAGAGTGTGAATAATGCAAAACACTAGAAGCAATATCACCCTGTAAGAGGCCGGGAGGTGGAACAAACAAAGGCGGGGGTGAGGAAGCTTGGGCTGAATTCCCGACAGTCATTGGTCTGGTACTACACAACGGCATAGATCTGGTTGGTAAAACTCTATTGAAAACAGCATTATCATATGACGTGTATCCTCCATTCATACATTTCATACCGAGGGTTTCGAAATGACTGAGATGAAAGGCGTTTGAATTAGGTAGTTTATCCGGACGAAAATGCATTCTATTATTTATGTGACAATGGTCATTTAGACTTGTTTGATAACCTAGTCCAGTATTGGTTAGTGACGACGACGACGATGGAATAACCTCTTCCGACGAAGCAATATGACCAAAATAGTCCAAATTATTAGGATTAGTGGAATTATTTATTTCGGAAATTCCATGAAATTTTCTATCAGTAACAGGAAAGGGGGATGTGAAGAAAGGCTTTGATTTGGCACAAGGATCAACAAAATAAATGCTTGACTTTTGATTTGATAGATTATTCAATGGCGCAGATGTTTCATATGGAGTCAAGGAGTAGGACTGATTATAAGAATTCATTCTGTTTGTCGACCCAGTTTTAGAAACAATTCTGTCTATATGGTTGTGTTCATCTATTTGTGTTTTGTTAAAGTTTGTGTACATCTGTGAAGTATCTGTGACAGAATATGAGTTAATTACACATTCTTCGTTAGGAATGCCATCCAAAGGGATTGAGATGTTTGAAACTTTAGCACAGTTCGATGTTGAAGCATTCATTCTGCTTACATACTCACAGAGATTTGGGGTAAGGCAGTTTAAGCGCTTGTTAAGTTCGACGATTTGGTACTCCTTCTTTGTAAGTGTAGCTGGAAGAGTAGTTAATGTTTTAAAAAAAGCTTGATAATTTCAACCAACAAAAACAAATTGATACTAAAAAATATACATGCAGTCCCATGGTAGCTGGCGACAAAATATGGGTTCGTACGCCATTTTCCCTCAGGATACTGGAGCCCATGTGCTCCACTGGTTTGGAATCAGGTTTTCCAACATCCATAGGTGGACCCTCTGTGTACACCAACCCGGTTAAAGCGCTGGACATTCGCTTTTCATCCTCTCAGTTTCGTAGACAACACCCCTGCCGCGAGAAGGCAATGAGCAGGACTTCCTTGATAGTGGCTGTGTACGCGTGGCCGTTTGAGAGCATTTCGAGAGGGAGAACTGGTTGTCCCAACCCTCAGCCGTACCACAACATTGGGATTGCAAGTGAATAATAATCGGATAGAAAAATTATGGACCAGATTTGCGTTGATATAGTTCTCATCTAGTGAGTGATTTAGGGGACAAACAAGCAGGCTCTATGACAACATGTTCATCTTTTCGACTAATGATATCTAAGAAAGGTAACAGGTTATTATTTTTTTTCTTAGCATGAAAGTATAACGTAACTTTAAAGATACTGAGTTTCCTTAACAAACAATTTCGACGTTTATTATTGCTACATATGACTACTGTGTCATCTACATACGCCTTGTACATAGTCATTTTCGGCTAAATCGGGACGTATTGCGCTCGTGTATCACACAGTTACAACAAACCTCATCTGCTCATTCTATTATACAAATTTGTCAAACGGAGTGTCCTAAAGTTTTAAAACACATTGCTAAATTATAACTTTCCTTTAAACAAGTCAACTCAGATCAACACTTGGCGACTAGACTAATAAACAGAAGAAGTCAAGTCACAAGACGTAATAAGGTTGAACGATGCAAGTGTGAGTGAGCTATGATGATTATTTTGTATATTCACATGACTAAGGATTATTAACTACAATATTTCTTACCTACATCAATCCAATTACCTGAAAATATGTATGAGTTGTAAATGCCATAGCTTAATGATGGGATTTCGCCTATAATTATCTTGCATTCCTGTACAATTAGTTTAATATTGAGACTTATATGTGCACCATAGGAGCTAAATCAGACCACAGACCAGACCTTATGAATATTTACAGTATTACATTAAAATAAAAAATAATCAGTTACATGATGACAAAAGGCAAATAATAAAGCAACTGAAACAAACCATTTAATTCTGTTATCTCTTTTAGGGAAGAATGGTAAGCCGTCATAAGCTCCTGTTTCATTTTGTCTTCCTCTTTTAAGGTGTCTGTCAGACGTTGATTTTCTTCTTGCAAAGAGTTTACACGAGAGGCAAGATCACTTAATTCAGTCTCAGTTATTTCATGCTTTTGCCGCCGTTTGCTCATATTGTAGTTTTGTTCCACAGAATTAGATTGTTTTGTTCGTTCATTTTTAGTCTGCTTCTTCCATGTCTTATCATTGGATTCACTTAGTCCACCATGTGAAAAACGTTCAGAGTTCAGTGCTGTAAGTTGATTATTTTTAATAGTTAAAGCTTTTGTAAGATTTTGCAATTCTAATTCTAGTTCCTGCCTTCGTTTTGCGCATAATTCATTGTTTTTACATGCTTCAACGCATATGGGATCATAGGAATTTAATGAAGTATTTCGAGATTCAGTCATTGAAGCTCTGAAATAGGAAAAAATATTTATAAAGAGATGAGAAAAGACAGTAAAAGTCAAACAAATTTAAGTGACAGGTCATAAACTAATAATTTCATAATAACTCATGAAATCTTGGCAGATATCATGATCATTGCAGCCTTAGTCAAACGGTCAACGGAATCATGTGACGATATGAAACTAGACAAAAATCAACTATATATATATAATCATGGACAAACGATATGCCGAATAAATTAAAAACATTCTAGCCAAAGGAACCCTGAAAATATATTTCCTGAATCTTAATAACCAGACTCTAAATATTAAAATACGAATTCTTCGGAGTTTGATGTGCATTTTACTGTAAATTTATACCTAGTTGAACATTCATTTAAAATGTTATGAGTTGTTTAGAGTTGGGTCTATTATGGAGATACCTAAAGACATCCGTTAGAAATGTTGAATTACGACGATAATATATTTTAATGGTGGGTAATCACTCCGTGCGAGGATAACACACTATGGTGTATGAATACAATCCTTCATTTGAAAAAGTAAATATATCTCCCTAAGTTTTATTAACCTCAACTATTTTTATACAATCTAATTAATTACACGTAATATATGTCGAGACAAAAACACTAATTATTGAGGAAGGTATAGATTAAATAAAACCTTACTTACTTGGAATCTGTGGTTTTAGAAATAACTGGTTCGTTAGATGTTGATTCTGAGGAGCTTGCTTCTATTTGTTTACCAGATTGCTGTTTGAACTGCTGTTCGAGAAGCAAACGATATTTACGCTCTTCAGTGAGACGTTTCTCAGCTGCCTGTAGACTGGCACGATCCGCCTGTAACACGAAACTCAGTGGCACAACTTAGTGTATAAATGATTTAAAAGATACAAGGCTAGTCAAAGTATGTAATATTAAGTTGGAAAAGAACTACATGACTACGTATACAATCAGAAGAGTCTTAGTTTTAGGTGACCCTGAAATGAACAATTGGTGATTAGAATTTAGAAAAAATGGAGGATAAATTTCACTAAAAACTGTGAAATCCAGCAGAATAGACCAAACGCAGATGAATTTCCTGTTTCCAAAATTAAATTAGGTGGGCATTGCTAGAATAATTTGAAGATTTTGACTAACAGTAAATGTTTAGGTCAATATTCCTCCAACAATCACTAGTTTCTGCAAAACACAAAGTTAGAGCAGATATCGAAACATCAGTAGATATAGTGACCAGAGATGGGTTTATAGTTGTAAAGAGTTATACTTAGTGAATTTGCAAATTTAAGTAAGAAGAGAATACTTTTAGTTTTCATGCAGATTTGAAATTGACAAGATTCATTTTTATACCATATTTTTTAATGACATCATGGAGAAGTCTCATGCATCATATACCTAAAATAAATAATCATCCTTAACAATCCATTCAAGTGATTCAATAATGTGAAAAAAATCCATTTCTGATGTAGTAGTGGGGCATTTGGTGTTCATATTTATGGTGAGATAACGATGATAAAAGATCAATCTCCAATGACTCAAGCTAATTACCTTGGTAAATAGAATAGCTGTCGAAGTATCAGACATATTTGACACATAAATGAAAACGAAAAATGTAAAGACTTAACAGTACTATTGACCTGTAAGCAGTTAAAGTAATAGAGAGGTAATAACAAAAAGGGATCCAGGTACTGCGAACGTTTAGTAGAGCAAAGGATGATCTATTCTATTCCAAAAGACTGGGACTAACCAAGGCAGTATAAACAATGTAATCAAGCGTTAACATATTAAATCTAAGTTAGTTTCCACTAAAGAAACGTGTAGAATAATAATTGCAGGTAGTATTTAAAGCATAAATAAAAAGAGTTATTCTGATAGTTTTGTCGCAAGAAGGATTATGTCAGGATTTTTAGTACCTAGCTAGTGATAAGAAAGGCCTCAATCTTATAAAGAATAATAGAAGTATATCTTACAATAATGTATTATATCGCATATCAATTAGTAAAGTTAAATTAAACTGAGACTAGGTTACTTTAATATTCTTCGTAACCTGATTACTAATTCAAATTACATGAATCGTTAACGTTTTCTTCATATTACAAGACTGTAGACTGTAGAAACGATAATATGCGTTTTAAAGCTATTCATGAGACCTTTTTCTTTGTACTTAATACATAATACAAATTTATACAGATTGTTAGTATATATCAGAATAAAATACACTTGATATGAAAAAGAAGGAAGCTGATAAATGGAAATGTTAAAATCAAACAAAAAGAAAGGGAAACAACACTCAGTTAGTAGTAATGGAATAATGTGCACATGAAATAATGAAGTCATTTAATGGGTATATACGCACTATCATTATTATTGTGTATGAAAATGTTAAAGAAAGAAACAAGTATTAAAATATATTTATTAAATCATAATAAAAAAGTAGGATCAAGGATTGAATTTTGTTCAGTTGTAAAGTGTTCAATCAATAAGAAAAGTGTAACCACTTGTTGAATCAATCTATAAGAATATGACCTGGATCAGGTGTCTGAGCAATAGTTAACTTTTTGAAATAAAATAATAGAAACCAGAGAGAAATTCACGCCTGGGTGTATATGACCTAAAAGATGAAATCAGGTCAAATATGAGAAGTGTAGCAAAATCAAATCTCCAAATATAGACTAAGGCAAAAATGACTGACAGGCGAAAGAAAAACAGTATTAATGTAGTTAAAAAAAAAACCTAAATTGATTTAGCCAATAAAACACCCACAACGAGAATTAACAAAACAAAATAACCGTGATAATCATATAACCTTGCCAAAATATGGGAACTCGAAGGTGAATAAAAGAAAAGTGATGGAAAAATCAAGATCACTGGCTTCAAGTACAATATTTAAGCATTATGTTGACTCGGTGATTCTATTATAAATGCATACGTATTATATAATCTGTCCGTCTGATCCAACAAATAAATAAATAAAATATCAATAATATTCTTGTAATATGACAGCTGAGATAAATCGATAAACAGGTGATTTATTAAATAAATAGAAATCCGAAATATATAGAGACAGACGATCAGTTACTTCCAGACAGTAGACAATCTGATAGCTGTATACATAGCCAATTTAGGCCGAAAAGATGAGTTTGAGAATATACATAAAGGTAAATGTTTGTGAACCCCGTGAGAAAATAGACAAAAACAAGATAAACGAATTAGTAAATTGACTAAAAATTACAACAGCGACAGTAATAAAGAGTAGTGGAAACATAACGTATCAAAGATTAAAGAAATAATGAGATCCTAATAGTGAAGGTTATTACATACCTGAAGGCGTTGAGTCAACTGATTGAGCTTGGCTTGCAGACTTTCAGATTCTTGCTGAGCTTGAGAACTTTCAGAGCGATATGTTCGTTCAGCAGCAAGTAACTGCTGAACTTGACCACGTAACTGAATTTCTGAACTACGTAAAGACTGGATTTCCGATTTTAAATTTCTAGCCTCAGCTTCTAGTCTGTAATTTAGATAATAATCCAAAATGAAGAAAATTGTGAATAGATCATACAAACCTACGAAACAGATATTGAAATAAAAGCAACAACATATTAGTCATAATTGATATGTGAATGTACTGAACTGACAACTACAACTATAGATCGGAGTTTAGCAACGTTATGTGGTTGACCATAAAAAGTATATTGAACTGAAGTACGATTAGTGGTTCAGTGATTATCAACTAATCACCAATTTACCACCAAACTATAATAAATAATAAAATACTTTCATCAATAATATTTATACCACTGACAGATTCAAAGTCATAAAAGATGGCCTCGAAATATCTATGATTATTGTTTGCAAACCTCAGTTGGGACGGGTAGATCTCCACGGCCTAGACCACCGGTTAGTGAGTTTTTAAACTTTTATTATGGTCTGGTCAGGATACACTTAGTTTTCATCTAACCTGCTTCTATTCTACCGAGTAGACAAAATATGAGGTTGTGGGTGAATAACCAAAGTTTTACACCCCAGTCGATGAAGGTTCTCCGAATCCTCTTTTGTCTAATTCTCCACATCCTACAACTCCATTGTTGACTCGGAGGCTTGACCATGAGAGAAGTAATTCAGAAACATCTGTGGTGAAGTACCGGTTGTATGGTTCGAGAGTGGACTCCTGTATAGTATGCTTACTTATTGACAGTTAAATGGATATCACAACCTCGTGCACAAGTGGCTTAATGAAACTGAAATCAAACAGACTGTGTCCATATTGATATTCTATTATCTGTCAAACTAACAGAACCGATAAAACTACCAAGACAAGAGAAGTGATCAAGATGTAAATAAATTTATTTACACTTAGAAATGATGGAGTATTGCCCATCGATTAACTTATTTTGAACATTCGGTTAGTGAAAATTGAACCGATGTTTAAGGGTCTTTTTATGAATTTGCTTTTCTTTTGATTCACCACACCGAAAATTTACGACTTAAATTTGTGATCTAATGTCATGCTTTGTGTTTAATTAATCAGGTAGATAGATAGTTATATCACGACAATAATGAAAGCATCTAAAACCGGTTATTGGTCCTGAATATCGAAGGATGTATTATGTAATCGATGATGTAATTGATGAAATCAATCCCACTATGCAGTAGTGTAGAGAAGGAGAACTCAGGTGGGGCAAACCAATTTATTGTTTTATGCAAAATTGAAGTGGATTAGTAAAATGTGAAAATCATGCATTAAATATATCATTTGCACAGTTTCTTTGCGTTGCCCTTTACATATTCCACTATTCCTTTAATTCCGTTGTTGTTTCGATTACTCTCCGATTTCCTTACTGCTCTCCTCATTTCAATGTTCTGCTGACAGGCATTCCACGTCTGATTGCTGCTACATACTAGCACATACAACAGAAATAGTAATAATAATAATACGTAGTTTTAACTGTAACAAAATATTCCCTAAGTTTCGCATTTAAAAAACATTAGCAGTGAAACTGAAAAAAATTCTGAATTCGGATGATAATGCAAATACTGGGAACCAGTAATGACCTAAGAAATACAATAATTGGATGAAATAACCACTAATTTTATATATATTAGAAACTTGACAATAACAAAACTTTTATATATATGATATATGGTGGAGTTAACTTTACAAATGTGCAGACAAAAATGTATCTAGAAAAATATTGCATCAAGTTTTGACGGTGAAATTTATCTTGATGAAGCGATTGGTGAAAATGTGATAAACCTGTGAGAATCATTGTCTAGGAATTTGGTATATTTGTAAATTTAACCTGCGTCTACCAAACAACTGGTTCATGGTATTTTACTTGGTTCTAATCGCAAGCTTTCACTTGACTAATTTCCTTTCGTTAATATTTGATACGTCTTTTACTGACCGTAAATTACAACAAATAAGTCAGACTTATTGCTGAGATCTGTATCACAAATGCTCTAGTTATGTATACAATGAGAATTAATATTTATGGTGCGTTGCGTTTGTTATTCCATGTACATAATAACGTGAGTCTTTAAATCAGAATATATGAATACAAGATAAAGCTGACTGGTTTTTCTGGTATCCTGGTTGATATCCATTGAGGTCGTTGTGTTGGCTATCGATTGTTAGCATACACAGTGACTGTGTTAGCAGACTTAGTGCTAAAGATCATAGACTGAAGCGATGACAATATTCACAGATTTGTCAGATTACACGATTGATTAATAAATGTGTTAGATTGTTTGAATTCTGAAAAACAATTAGAGATAGTTTGTTGCTGGGACTTATATTTTTGACTGGACTTCATATTTCGGCAATTCTGAATAATGACGTGATCAAGAATTAGTTATAGAACCCTAGAAAATTGAGGGATAGCACCTTACATAACTATGGGCTGAGAGACGTAACAGCAGTACAGTGGTGTCGCTACTGTCGAGAAGTGTGTTTCAAAGTGGAGAATGAAGCGTCAAAATAGCTGTTCGGAAAAGAAAGTATAATAAAGAGAAGTGTACATGCGGTTTGGGTACGTAGCTTTTTCTTCAAAATAATTGGCAGGTATGTGGAATACAGGACTAAATACCACAAAAAAGTTATTTGCAGTGGGCTTTAAATAATAAAAATAAACCGTTTTACCTATAGTAGGATAGTATGTCTTATCTGGGACGACAGTGTACACAGATGATTAAGGGCCTATACACGCCTTCACAAACGAGGCTACATTTATTGAAGGATCGTCCATAAACAAACGTTTGTAGACCCGACGACAGGTGTACACACTAATAATGCAGAAACCAAGTGGTTAAGATTAAACAACAACCCTTGAACATATAAAGGTTCTAAATATGCAATGATTTAGAGTTAAATGGACAAGTTTTGGTGTAGAATTTATTCTGATTTTTGTTTTATTGAACTCATGGCTAGCATCTACATATTTGCTAATCATATTAAAACTCAACATTCACTATAATTTTGCCGTTCTTTTTTTATACAACTTTCATTTACACAACCTGAATTCTAATAAGCTAATGACTGATGGGATGTTGGGAAGGTCACTCTCTTTGATCTGTTCGTGGGCGTCAGAATTGCTTAGTCTAATACTGATATCTGTTAAGTTCTCTTAACTTTTATAAAACAAGAAATTGAGCTCTAAATAACAGTAATATTGTGGATGTCAGAAATATTATTCATGTTTAACGTTTTATTAAACATAGTGCAACTTGTGTTAGTGGGAAATAGTTTGAATGAATGGCCATGTCTTAGCCAGTCAGCACTAGCGGATACTTGAAGAAAACACTAGAATATTCTCGTGTAAAATTACTAATATACTAACGTTTTTCTTATTGTGATTCTTGATCCCTCTTAACCTTGTTTATTTGGGACATATAATTAAGTCCCTGTTCAACCGTGTTCGAAGAATACTAAGCAATCAGAGTGGCTGGATTGTAATGAGGGTTTATAATATTTAGGGATTTAAACGAGATATATTACGACTGTATCTGAGTACTTAAGTTTAGATTTTTAAACTAAGTTGAGGGTTCGTTATTTCCGAACGTTAAAGATTGGTAGGATTGAAGATAAGTAGAGGGACTGATTGTCCTCTCAAAGCTGTCACCGAATTCAACTCTTATCAATATTGTTTGGTTTGGATAGCGGGATGTACAGTAGTAGCAGAAAGGCTTTGGATATCCCACATAATCCCGATTCATTAAAATACAATTAGAATTCACTTGTATAAAAATCATGACGTTCTCAAACTCTCGTAGTTGCATTAACTCATGTAGTTACATTATCTTGGTAACGTGTGATTTAAACGAATACAACAAGGATCAGAGCTTAATACGTAAATACATGCTTGGTTATTAGGTTCCTTTGATGTCATATAAGTAACTTATATAAAACAGTATTTCAAGAACCCAATTAAGAATAACAGAAAACTAACTTTAAAGTATACTCATCCTTGTTAGCATTTTTACCGCCTGATTTACAACCAGTTGATAATGAGGTTGAACCGCATGCATTGGATCTACTACTAGCAGCAGCCCCAGAAGAAGCTGAACTTACATTCGAATTATTAGAAAGAGTTGTTTTATTTGAAGCAATATTGATTGATGGAGGTGATTGTTTTGTTTCACAAGATTTTGAATTTGATGGTGTACAGTTCGATTTGGCTCTATTATTATTACTAGTTGAATTAGAACAAGTTGAAGTTGATAAACCAGATGTAACTGAAGCAAGTAGTGACGTGGATTTCTTGTGAACTAATTTATCCTCCTTCATATCAGTGTCCCTCTCTATATGATTGTCAGCAGAAACAGTATCCGGAACAACAGAGTTAGGGACAGATGGAACCTTTACAATGATCGTTTGAGCGAGAGAGACAGCCACATACGATTCAGGCTAAGAATGTAGGATAAGAAACAAAACTTTGTGGCAAGGAACTAATAAAAAGACCCAGAAATAACTTAAACAGCTAGAATAAGCCTGTTTTTTCGAATTACGAAGTATTGAGTTTAAATACAAACTCTTTTTTACTATTCGTGACAAATTAAAACAATTTCCTATGTACATGAACACCTGTGAAAGGTTATTTCATGTCATAAATGATCGTCACTGCTTTTACAAGAGATTGCAGCTACTACGCAGTTGCCTTAAATAACTGGGCTCTGACACAAAAGTAATTTTTATATTTTACAAACCAGCAATTTGACATTGTTTCTTCATTATTGACAGAATACATAACATTATAAGGCAATAAACCTAGTTTTTCCTGAACATTATGTGCTACATATCTCCGTGTTAATTTGCTATGAAAACTAGGCACGATGGAGATTTGTCTCAAGTTGTATGACTGACTGATGTTGTTAACTCTTGATTTTGAATTTTTCTATATTGAGTTGTATATGACTGTATGACTGCAAAACTTAAAATGATAAGCAATCGTAGTAGCCTTGTAATTTTTCGCTGAAACGCATAAAACGTGAGATGAGTGAAAGTTTTAGGTGAGTACCTACGAAGTAAATTTATGCAACCTAACTGATGATTACTTGACTAAAAGTAGAGTCATAAAACAAACTAGTCACAATTCAAGATAGTAACTAGTAAATAGAAATATATGGACTAATCGTCTATTAGAGTACGTTAACGTCATATTTTTCTAATTTGACAGTAATAATCTCACTGAATAAAAGTACATAACTGTTCCTAATATAGATGTAAAATTATATAAAATGTACCTGCTCTGAAAGTGATGATGGTACAGAAGCATGGTTATTCACTGGTTCATCATTTCCAACCGAAATGTACATTCTTGTGAAACACTACTATCATTTGAACATAAAGAAAGATCCGTACAATTATCACCACGAGTAGATGAATAGACGAGACGTGTTGTACGGGGATGATTCAGAGACATATTCTTCTTATTAACACTTGAGGCAGGATGAATTTCTTTATCTCTGGAATGAATCGGGTTAACCCTATTTAATTCAGATATATTTCCAGATGAAGTTAAATTTGGCACAGTGGATGTAGGAGAAGAAATAGCCAATGTTGAACAGTTATTTTCACAAACCATATTCGAATGTTTAGATTTAGGAATGGTGTCTTTATCGAAAGAAAAAACAGAAAACATGAGGCACTTCAATATAATGAGGTACTTGAACAATAGATGATATTACGTCCCACCATAGCCTGAACACAAAAAAAACCAAATTATCAATCGAAATCAGAATAAATTTGAAATTACATAATGGTACTTAATTTGACTTGCTATTATACCTATCAACAAATTAACCAAAATTCCTTCGTTCAATAAAGTGGATTTTCAGTGTAGATAAATGACTTTTTGTTGAAAATGTCACTTGAAAATTATGGGTTCTGTGACCAAACGAAAGTTTAAAAAAAACTAATTTAGACCAAGTTATAAATCCTTAAATCTCTTATTACAATTATTTTGATGCACACAGTCCACCTAATAAAATTAGAACTGCTTATACCGTGGTTCATGGTACTTATATCGACAGACATAAGTGGTGTGTAACACCAATCGGAAGTAGCAAACCTGGTAACAAAAGGCTGAGAAGCCAGAGTTGAAGACAAGGGAAAATAGAAAGGAACTGAGAACTTGAAGAATCATACAGAATGTGAGAGACAAATGATGAAAATTTGCAGATGAAGTATTCAGTGTATGGTTCTTGTATTTTACCAAGATACTCTGTAATTTTATATTAAAATACATTCGTTGTCCACACTTGTGTTCTCGTTCACAATAATACCACTAAAGTACATACAACAATAAAGTTTGTGACAATATTATGAATTATAATGCAAGGAAAAAAGTTTTTAAAAAAAAACATTTCTTAAATTCACAGTGTCATAAGATGAACTTATCATATTTTGACTGCTTCTCATGTGTAGAAACCCAAATTAAATGAGCTGATTTAAAAATTGCTGTCATTGAACAACGTTGTAATATGTACGTGACTATAAAAGGACAATGGTTATGGAACACAGAAAGCCGACTTATAACTCCAGCTAACTTGTCATATTTTACTAGTTAGGAAAGTGAGGCATTATACTCTCAAGATTCTAAAGAACATCTAACAGGTTAAGATTAGCAGGTCAATTTGAGTTCTATTACACTACCTTCATAATTCTTAAAATGACTTAAATACATAAACATTCTATCATTTATAGATTCAATACTAAGATGAGTGAAGATAAACACAGTTAGAATACAGGTCTGATAGTCAAAATCAAGAAGCAGAACCAATTAATGAAATACGCGACTGCTTCTAATACTCAAAAGGTAGATCGATGTGGGTTTATCAATCACTGGTGGTCGTTAATTAATTTCCAGGTCTCATTATGATTAATATCCTTTACTTGTGATTGGATATACGAAGAAAAAGTACCCAAAAGTATTTAACAGTATCTAGCAGTTACTTCTGCGATTCTGTAAAGATTCTTAAAAATGGAAACATACATATAAAAAAGGGAATGTGAGAGGATTTTCTTGACAATTTGAAGTGTCTCAACGAGTCCAAAAAGCAAATCTACAAAAAACCATATTACGAAACATATTCAATGAATTTCAATACAGCGACATTAAGCGGTAGGCATACGTTTTTAGATTTCGTATGAAACAAGCTCCTAAAGTATGTATTTCACTATAAAACCTGGATAAAAATGGAAATATGACTACTAGTATTTTACAGACTTAACTGATAATAATGATACAAAATGAAAAAAATCCATTACTCTTAAATATCCTAAACGTGGAGAAGTTATTGTTACCAGTAGTCTGTTTTGTACGAGTGACGTAAACGCAGAAAAAAATCTAAGATGCAAGAATCGAAACTTACCTGATTTTAAATAGCACCAAAGTTCCTTTGGTAATGCTTCTTCCAGAATCGAGAAAAACGTTATATTTTGTGCTTCCACAAACTTTTGTCTTCTCTGTGAATTAGGAATATATCAATCACACGAACAGATTAAAAATTTGCAGTAAACAAATAAACTTAAGCGATAAATATTTTATTATCCATATGAGCATCGCTTCAAGTTGCCACATTGGCACAGAAAAAAAACTTCATGACAAATCCCAGAGTAGCAGAAGTAGTAACAGTATCAATAATAATAAAAATGGAAATTTATAGAGTGATATCGGGACTAGGTTCTGGAAGAAAACAAGAAATAAATGTCCTTCCTCCATTAAGAACTATTTTGGAACGTGAGATTTAAAGTCCCTAACAATTAGTTGCAATAACCACGCGACCCCTAACTATGTAGTCTACAACTACCTACATGGCTAAGTCCAATTTTTAACGACTTAGTACATTGGTATTTTGTCTTACTTTGACGGCCCCTAGCGTTCTTCTAATCTGTTCTTACTCCTAAATCGGAGAACAAAGAAAGGTGATGGTTTGGCATAAGAAATACATGTCTCTACCAACTTGGTGGATGAAGATTCACTACTTTATTAATCAACTTGCCATCTTTATCCGCAACCTCGGGATTGTTTACTTGGCGGTACTAAAATCTTTCAAAGATACCTATGACCAAATGCCAGTAACATACGGATATCCTCTATCCATAATGGTTAAGTTTCACACAAACAAAGTGGGACAGAGTGAACTGCTGAGCAATAAACTCGTCCTTTGGCTGGCAGACAAAGATCTCACCTACGCCACAAGTGACGCCAGTTGGCAAAAACAAATCGAGCCCTATAAATACATAACGAAATTTAATCATACGCCAAGCCATTAGGACTGATATGACTCTCAAGATAATTGAAGCGATCGATATGTTTAACTACTTCACTCTCCATAAATAATGCAGGCGCTGGTGTAGACCAGTCCTAAAGCAACATTTTGGATTTGAATAGAAAAACGCATCCGAAATATACTTGGACTGCTGCTTAAGGTCAGGAGACCTCGGAATTTTTCAGTATCTTTATGAAACGGAACTATGCCATCTCAGTATCCCAAGTCAACAAATGAATCTCTTTGTAGATCAACTCCCGAAAAGTCAGACGATAAGAGCATTATCGCTAAAAGGTTGTCTATGACGAAGTTAAATAAAAATATCGAAAGTGGATAGCCCCAAATACAACCGCTTGAGATTGACAATTCCATATGTGCTGACTAGACTAGTAGTATTATTATTTGAAAACATAAACATTGGTACAAGGGGGCACCAAATACATACTCGCCAAACAATAACAGTGAGGTTGTGAAGCGATAGAGAATGTAGAGCGCATATAGTAAAAGAAGAACAACGAACGGAAACTAGTGTGTAAGAATGAAATTATTATTATAATGGGAGAAACAGTCCGGTTAAGATACAACCACAGAGAATGCTTTCAGTTAAAGAAGTTACGTTCACTAACATAAAGAAAGAAAAAAGAAACTGCAGCAGGATCGACACTGGCTTCTATTCTGAACCATATCTAATAAAGCCTCTAGCCGCTGTGTTGCACCATCTCTAGGACCCCAACCAAAGAGTCGTGAAGGACTAACAGGCGCCAATCCTGTACACTTCCCTTCATACCACGACACCATGTCATACACTGGCCACCTATCCGCTTTTTCCAACCAGTCCCACCGTCGGCGAATGATGCACGACGCGGAATTCTGTGGGACGACATTCGTAGGACATGTCCAAGCCACCGAAGTGACACCAAATGAATGGTTGTCACTGTGCTCGAACACACGATGCCGAACCGCTGCATTACTAACATGCTATGCAACTGGATGTCAGCAATCCTTCGGAGACAACGATGACCAAACACAGAGAGTCGTCTAACATCCTCAACTCGGCGAGGCCAGGTTTCACAAGCATAGAGCAAAACTGCTCTCACCGACGCGTTGTAGATCTGACGTTTTACAGCCAGACTAAGATCACGAAGGCGCCAAAGATGGCCCAGATTGGCATAAGCCGCTCTGGCTTTCACTATACGCCTGCGCTAGCACTTACTCAGTTATTCAGATACATGAACTTCTCGACTACTTCTATTTGTTCACCATCCAGGGTGAGTGCAGGATTAGAATCCTGCCAGTCTTGTAGACGTACTTTGCACTTCGAAGGTGCAAATAACATACCATAATCACTGGCACTGATTGCCAACTGATTAAGTGTGGATTGCATGGCTTGGACATTATCGCACAGTAACACAATATCATCCGCATACTCAAGGTCGAGAAGTCTTTCTCCAGGCAACAGATCCACACTACCATTACTTACATCTATCAGAGCTGTTTCCAGAACGTCGTGGAAAGCAAAGTTGAGAAGGAATGGTGAGATTCGACCAGGAGTGTTCGAGTAGAGTCTGTACAAGGTTAATGTACTTATTTGGTCACCCCTTGCAATGACAGATACTGCTGCAGAACCTCACAATCAGAGTGAATAATAGTCCCATCTTTTTTCGAGAAATTTTCACGAGCAGCCAGATTTTTTATGTATGTTTCCATGATAAATATGAATATTAGTGTATTGTTTCTTATCGCCGCTACTTTTTCGCTTTTGATACCCACTACTGCTCACGATCATTGAGTAGGTTTTTTATCGCCCTATGTTTAGGCTACATCCGCTACTCATCATGTTCCGATGAGTTTCTGAGCATCTATCAGTTCAGAAAACGCCGCTGAAACCCACTGATTTTTTTTAACCTTTTAGTTCAAGTTACCGCTAGATAACACTGGTGTTTGGATTCCACGCCGAGCCACCTCACGTTGGATATCAATTTCATGTTTGACTAACTCCTTCTTTAGTCGTTACTGAGATACATTCTTCACTTTTTTACCATTAAATGGAAATCTAAAGAGTTTTGTTTCCGTGTTTAATAAGGTTCAGACAAATACGTACTCGCTCATTAAATCGTGATCTGAGTTTAAACATATGTTCCACAATGAGTGACAGTCTTTAATCGACCCTCTTCACCGATGACTGATGGAAATATGGCTTGAGTTCATCGTTAAGTCGATTGAAGGGGTCGTCATGTCAGACGATGTTTTTCTTTATGCTTAAAGTTACTGCTCCCTAAAAATAAACGGTTATACGAGCATAGTTGCAGCAGACAGTCTTTTAGGTGGGCCGTGGTGTTGTAAGGTCCATCAAAGTACTTTTCAGTTTTATTTAAACTACTTACTTGCGCATCAAAATAACTTATTTCTATTACTGTATACGGGCATTTAGCCTTTTGAAAGTTGCACGTTTCCTATAAAATTCATCGTTTGCTTCAACCAAATAAAAAGAATTGGGAGCACAGGCAAAAGCAACGGTGTGTCCACATCTTTCTGAATTTGTATTATCCAGTCTGGTCGGACAGTGCACGAGCCACTGTCTATAAAAATATATTACAAGAGACTCTATCTTATTTTTTAACCGAATGCAGTACCTACACCAACGAGACCATGGGAAGTAGCAGTGGGGACTGCAAATACACAGAAGATGAATAGCATTGGCTTTTTTATTTGAATGATTGACTACACTTGGATCCATCATGGACGTTTCGGATATGCCACATACATCGATGGCACGAGATTCTAGAGTCCCAGTTAAGGAGGCCTGTTGTCGTTGGACGTTGAAAGCTCCAACACGTGGTTTCAGGGAACCAGAAATAACATTTCGTGAACTAGAATCATTAGCACTGGTGACGCATGGTGTAAGCGATGTACATGTTTGGATGGCGATAAGGATAGGGAAAATATTAAGAGGCGAGAGAAGGATTTGACTATCAAAAGATTATCTCTGGTGTTGTCGGATGTTATTCAGACTGCGAAAAGATATTTCTCGTTGAGGGACCTGAAAGTAAACCGTGTAACAGCCTTAGTGATCTGGAAGAGTAACCGTCGAGTATAAGGGACAACTGCTTGATGATGGTCACTCATAGACTTTTCATGAAAAGTTCTGGTGTGTTAGCTCCGCACTTCGAAGTCCTCTACTACCGGAGACAGAAATCCGAAGGGTGAGATGAGGTGTGAATTTCATAGGACTGACCTTTTCTAACCCTCTCCTTACTTGTGAGGAGAGAGAATCGCTGGAGATGCTGGTTGTCGGAGGTAAACATAAGTAAAACACTTGTTAGCTATATACTGGATAAGTAACAGAAAGCAAGCTTGAGTATATTCCTTGGAGCAGCTAACTACAAAATCAAATACATCTACAACAAAAACGTTCTATTAACGGGGCAATATTTAAAGTACATTAAACAAATTAGTACATATCTAAGGTATTTAGAAATGCACCAAATAAAACGGCATGTGATTATGAAAATATAAAAGGTAGTACTACGCATTGAAACAAATGAAATAATTACATAACGGTGATTTTTAGGAAACATTACTATTTTATTACTTGTAGATAAGAGAAAATACAATGAAAACTCGATATAAGAATTATCCCTTTATTTTCACAAAGTTAGACGAAAATTACAATGGTGTTAAAGATGTTTAAACTGAGCTTACTTTACTAAGAATTTTTCCGTATAGAGATTGAATACATTTAGCACACCCTCACTCATTTATATGATCATTCAAATGGAATATGCACTGCATCAAATGCATGAAGGTAAATCAATAACTGAACCACTCGATTTCTAACTACTGGGTTGCGAGTTCTAGCCGAGCTGTTTACATTAGTTTGAATAGCTAAGTAATGTTATTACTACTGAAAAAATGTGCGACATAAAGTCCATTACACGAATATTTACTTGATTACTTAGTTAAAATGGTTACGTTCTGTGTTTTCTGAAGCCATTAGGTGATATTTTATCGACCTCATAAGCTCTTACTCATTATTGTGGAATTTTACACTAGCGGGGATTTAGAAGAGCAAAAACATATTGAAACAATTTCTGAAGTAGTCACTAAGTTCATATTCATTGCACACTGAGTTTTATGGAACTCAAAGACTTCTGGGAATCCTCCAAATTACCATCGCCTAAGAACGTATTGACGGATGATAAACATTTAGTGACTACCAAAATCTTTGTAATGACAAAAGTGCTTGCCTGGCATATGTCACCTGTGTCGCAGGCAAAATGTTTGTTTGTTAACCAATTTGTGAGTAATATGGTGCAGTAGTACAGGGTTTCACAAGGATATTATTAAATTCATTATTCTCATCAAAAGAGGAAAACAGGGTCATATACAGAAAATTCCCAAAACATTAGAACATATTTCTTGGCGAAAATGACTGATAAACGATATAATACGTTTATTAATATATTTCAGTCAGAAATGTTCAGAAAATTAGTGTCCAATTTATGTCTTGGGTTTAATGGAAAAAACAATTCAAAATAGGTATATGCATACTGACAGGTTTGGTGTCAAAATGAAGATGTCATTAAAAACAATAATGGTTAGTTATTTTATCCTTAATTAAACCTTATGTTAAGAAATACACTACGTTTTAAGAATTCGACCAGAATCAACTTAAGGTTTTTTATTTGAAGAGGTCTATTGGCTGATAAGAAATCAATCGTATATCATTACCCGAGAATGGCAGGAGGAGGAAATTATTTCGTAATCATTCAAAATACTTTATATATCAAGGGATGGTGGACCTAACTAAATAAAATAGGAAATAATAGAAAAGTTATTGTAAAATGGTGTAGTTTAGCCAACTAAATGCGTCACACACATGCTTTTCGATTTCAGTAAGTTTGACTAATTTTTGTAAATGAAGATCTAGAAAGGCTGAAAATGTACATACTTCATTATTAAGGAATGGCGAAATTAACTCAAGAAGCTTCTATTAGTCTAAATTTGATACTAATACAAAATCACAAATTTAATTATGAAACTATTTGCCTGTACATCCACAAAATTGAGATAAACTATTTATAGAAGAATGAATTAATGAGTGACTCGGACAAATGTACATTGAATTAAATGACAAATGCATATAATGAGTCTACTTACCAAACGAAAATGATGTGAGATCATACTCTTTAAACTGAAACCCAAAGTTACAACGGGATAGCCAATGCTAGTGAGAAAGAACAATACATAAGATGATAAAACAATGACATAAAAATGATGTATTTGACGACTGTATGGACAGGAAAACAATGAAATGAGAATTAAAATTCTGATTTGAGCTACAAATAAGTATTGTACATTTCGAAAAACGATTGTACAGAGCATTCCAGATAAATATTTTAGAAAGACGAATAGTCTGCTGTGAAGCATATTTTAAGACTTCGAATACATCAAGGAATAAGAGATTTGATCGCTGTTTGGTTAGATCAACATTCGGAGGTAAGTAGTAGTGCTGAAAGTGATTGGATAGGCGCATTTTTAGATTCCAAAGAGATAGACACACCAATGACTGAGACAGAGAATGACAAGTATAATCGAACCTCACGGCTCTTACTCTTTCGAAAGGATTGACAATATCGATTTACACTTGTCGCTACTAAGCTAAAGCTAGTCAGTCATTAAAAGTCCCACTACAGCTACCGAATAAGGATATAAGAAATTTGAAATTCATGAGTTCTCCAGAAAAAATTCGCGGTAAATGATGCACTGTTGTTTGGATAGATCTGAAGCACTGGTTGCAAAATTTAGGATCATTGGGTGAGCAACGTTGAGTTTAAATTCAAGATGATAAGAAAGAATGGAAAGTCAGTTAGTGAGGTAGTGGAAGTTTATCAACTGAGCTGGTTAAAATATGTACTAAGTGTCCAACCAATGTCTAACATCAACACACAATATTTGTCGATGTAGGAATACGTTGGAGAAAGCCAAGAGCGACCAAAATGTAGCGTGAGTCTATTGAGTCATTCGATGTTGGGTTGGGCCTAGTAAGTAGATGCATACCACTTCGTTAGGGTCCGTGTGACGATTACGATTGGTAGTTGAAAACATTCGGTGACATAGCTCAGGGTTGATAGCAATGACACAAAATTATTCAATCCTTTTCTTCCTCTAGATTTTTAGTTTTAAAATTATCTTATAATTTCTATTCCGCTAATTCGTCCATTCTTCCGGAATTATATTGTCTATACTTATTTTATTCTATTGATACTATGACTGAATGTATTGATAATTTCATTTCTCTGTGTGTGGTAATTTGAACTGATGCACATATGTGCCCGGTTCTACGTTGTATGACTGACCGACTGGTTTGAATAGAATACACCGTTAGCAACAAACCTTCATTACAACTATTAATAAAGTAGAAAATGATCATATCTAAAATTATGGTTGATTCAAACAAATATTGAGTATTCTAGAATCTAACGTATACATTAAAATGTTAAAATCAGAAAAAAACCAGTAACATATGATACAAGCTGATCATAACACAAGTTGTTTAAATAAGAGATGGAAAATAGATCACTAGCGACGGGAAATGACAAACACCAAAAACAGAAAATATCACTGAAACTGTCACTCATGTCCATGTGGTTTCTAAATGCTTTTGTTGGGAAGTAGCGAAAAATTTAAAAATTACACAAATTACTTCGCTATATATTACACAACACCCCACTACCCCCCCCACACACACAATGGTCCCGATATTAGACTACGTAGCTTTTTTTACTACATCAGTGTTACGGGAATACTGATTACCAAAGCATGAGAGTAGGTTTTCTATCTGGCTATTGATCTTCGGTAGATGTGAAATTAGTTTGGAAATTACATTTGGTATAAAGCCTAGTAACAAATCGAATTTCATACAGTAAATATGATTTTCAGCGCTTCCGTGACAAAAAGCTGCTTCGACGAGAAAACACTAGAAGACCAAAGGTAGAAACTACGTATATACAATCTATCCCAGTTATTTAGGATGATTTACAATTATACCACACATAAATGTATCAACTAAACACAGTGATGTCCACACGGCTTTTGGCTACATGTTTTTTGTGAGAAGTAATATTACTCGGGGGCCGAACTCATGTGGCAAAGTGTTCGGTTCTAGAACTTACAGAGAGATAGCTTGTTTGTTCCAAAATCCCTAGCATAAACAACCAAAGAACTTGGATTACGTCATCTCTTGATAGTAATTTATATCTTCTACGAGTGCATATGCTTTATTAATTGAGGAGGGTTTAAATACTACAAAGAAGAGCTGTTAAATATCTCTACTAAACATAACTATATGAAAAGGTAAAGTTTATCAACTTACCAATGAGCTGCAAAAGGTCTGCAGAGATCTATACCCAGCGGCTGGCTTTTTGGATCACGGAATCTTACAGCTACCTCGACATAGAAGAATAAAAAACATAATGCAACTGTTGGGATATACACACCACGATCTGAAATGGAAGGACGATATTTTTAAAAAGATATATAGCAAGTATGTAAATACATAGCTAAAAAGTCAAACATTTAAAGTCATACTTAATGTGTAAATATAAGTCAGAACTATAAATATATGATTAGCGGACATACTATATTCCTTAAGATTGCTCAGTCGAACGTCTTGCTGTTCCATAGAAAGTGTTAATATTGGGTGAAGTCATGAGTGTCGTCCACTAGCGGGCTTGCCATAGGAAAAAATGTTAAATTAATACGGATATTCCTATATTCACAAACAATCTGGAGGCTATCATAACAACAGAAATCAATCGTTAATTTTTAGAACTGAACAATCACTTAAATTTATCTATTTTATATCTTTCTATATACTAAATGCATAATTGTTCTATAAATTTTGAATTGTTTCCCATGTTTCTGTCTATACAACTTTATTCTGTTGGCTGGTCTGTGCACGCTAGTTCAAATATTATCAGCATGTGTATTTTATTAACATATAATGATGACTTTATCGATATGTTATTACGAAAAATAGGAGATAAAATATAATTGTGAAAGAGATTTAATTTGTGGTTACATCTTTTCCATCACCTTCTTACTTTAAAAATCAATATTTAGATGTAATGTTTTAATTTTATCAAGTAGGTCAAAATATTTAAACTTTTACACTAACAATTTAATTAGCCTTAGGATTATTAAAATTACGGACAAACAATATTAAACTGATGTTTGTTTCCGTTGACACGAAAAAAATTGCACGAATAGCAAACATCATATAAGGCAAACAGAATTAACTTGATATGCGTAATATCAAGTACTGTTAAATGGCAACTATCCTTGGTGTTAGCTTATCTTTTGAGGCATCGGTTCCTACGATGTTTGTAGGTCAGTAAGTCCATCGATCCATGTTGCCACACCTCATTAACACAACAAGATGAACACCAAATTCATAGAAGCAGTTATTTCAATGGTAGTAAATAAGAGATTTCATATAAGCATATGATACAGGGAAAAAGAATTAGTTCCTAGGAAGAGATATAAAGGTATTTTTATCTTAGGGTTTAAGGGAAGGCAAAAAGTGTATACACCTACGCCATTGTGATCGATTCTGAGCCGTGTCACCGAGAGTCTCCAACCATTGGTTACGATAGTCACGTGCACCCCAACCAAGTAGTCTGCATCTATCAACATGGCTCAGACTAGAAGTTAGTGGCTTTATGAACTGATGCCACATTTTGGTTTGGCCGCCCGTAACTTTCTTCCAACCATCCCCAGCACCGGTTAGCATTGCACGTCGTGGTAATCAGTGTTCAAGCATACGCAACACGTGGCCCAATCATCTCAGTCGGCGAAAATTCACAACGTCATCAAATGATTTACCATCATTCCCTAATAAATTGCGTCTAACCTCACTACCACATACTCGATGTTCCCGGCAGATGCGAGCAATATTTCTATAACGCATCTGTGGTCAAACATTAGTAGCTTACAAGTATCCTCTACTCTTATTAGCCACGTTTCGCAGTCGTAAAATAGAACAGAACGAACTCCTGTGCAGTATACTCTGCCCTTGATTGGTAAACAGATATATCACCTTCGGTATAGGTGATGTAAGTTGGCAAAAGTCAAACGAGCTTTCTGAATCCGTGCAGAGATTTTGTCAGACACCAACTCATTAAGGCTGACCAGACTTCCAAGATAAGTGAAGTTGTCGACGCGTTCGACTACTTCACTCCTTATCCTTAGTTCAGGTGTTCACTCAGCCCAGTCCTGAAGCAACAATTTACATTTAGAGAAAAAGAAACGTATCCCAAACATCTTGGCACTGTTGCTCAATGCTACCAAAAGACTGCATTTTATCAGCGTCATCACCAAACACGAATATTTCATATGTGTATTCCAAGTCAATAAATGGACCTCCTGGTAGGGGACCGATTCTCGAAAATTCAGTCGACGAGAACGTCATTTCCAGCAGTAGGTCTATGATGAAATCGAACAAAAATGGAGATAGTGGGCCAGCCTAGTTTTCTCGTGTTTGCAGTTCACGAGTCTTTGTTAGGCACCCGATAGTTATTGATGCTAGTATTTTAGACGCTATATTAGTTAAACTTATCCCTCTACAGTCATCACAGGAAGATTTTGATCCTTTCTTATATGTTGGGACGATCAGTGGTTGGTACCAGTTAGATGGGATTACATCCAGATCTCAGATTCTAGCTAAAATATTAGTCAAACCAATCGCTAAAACTGGACCACCATACTTAAAGACTTCTACAGCTAATCCATCTGGACCGGCTGCTCTTCCTCGTTTCAGATTACCTATAGCACTTTGGGGACTTCAATTAGAGTCGAGGGGTCCATTTCAATGTTCCATTCAGACTGTTTGGGAATGATGGGTAGTTGTATAGTAGCTGAACTGATCCTTAAAGTGCTCCGCCCATCGTTCTAAACGTCTAGACTGAGAGCAGCGAAGAGTGCCATTTGTTTCCTGGATTGCTTCACATTTAAATTCTTAATTCCGGTTTCTTTTATTAGTCTGAAAAGCTATCTTGTGTTACCTACAGCCGCTACCTTTTCCATCTCTTTTGCTTTCGTTGCCAACTACTGCTCACGATCGTTCCGTAGACTTTTGGTTAGTCAGTCAGTCACAACGTAGGACCAGGCACATATGTGCACCGGTCTTAGATTTGATTTATTTCCGCTCCTTATCGTGTTTGGAGCCTGAATGGATAAGTTCACGAGTCTATCAATGCAATAGATATCGCAGAAACCCACTGGTTTTTCGTAACTCTTTGGTTCAAATCACTAATAGATGTCACTGTTGTTCGTATATCTTTCCAAGTAACATCTAGGTCAGCCTCGCTTTCAAAATGGCCTAAGTGTGACTTCATTTGTTTCTGGAATTTACCTTTGGCTTTCTCGTCGTTGAGTTCAATTTTAATGGGTATTCTTGATAGCGGATTTCGCCTGGAACTCCTCTGGGACTGCTCCCGGTCCCAAGCCCGGATAAAGGAGGGTTGGACATGGGGTCAGCGACCCTATCCCGCGGGGAACTAACTCGCTAAAAATACGCTAACCAGAAAAAGTTATTTAAACCACTTCAACTCTGCCCTGTGAATCAGGTCTTCATTTAAAGGAGTTATAACGCATCATAGCGAAACCCGAGTTCCTTCGGGAGCCACGAGGCCGATGCCGCTTTCTGACAACCAGAGCAACCATTTATTTAGGTACAATGTGGGAGACCGGGAGTCTTCCGAATTGCTTCAGAAATGAGGAGATACAACCTAGAGGTGCTTGGGATCAGTGAAACATATTGGATGCAAGTTGGACAACAACGACTAGCTTCAGGGGAGCTTCTGTTATAATCTAGCCATTAAGAAAATACCCCACATACACAAGGACTTGCAATGATGCTATTAAAACAAGCACAAAATGCACTTATAGGATGGGAATCTCATGGACCAAGGATCATCAAAGCCTCTTTCAAAACAAAGAATGAGGGCATTTCAATGAACGTCATCCAATGCTATGCGCCTACGAACGACTACAATGAAGATGTCAAAGATCAATTGTACGATAGGCTGCAGTCAATCGTCGAGAAGTGCCCAACAAAGGACTTGACGATTCTGATGGGAAACCTAAATGCCAATGTTGGAATGGACAACACCGGATATGGACACTGACATAGACTAGGAGAAAGAAACGAAAATGATGAGACAATTGCAAACTTATGTGCCTTCAATAAACTGGTCATAAGGGGCACTGTATTCCTACACAAACGCATACACAAAACCACATGGACTTTACCAGATCACACTACGCAGAACCGAATCGACCAAATCTGCATCAACAAAAAGTTCAGGTCGATGGAGGATGTGCGAACCAAGAGAGGAGCTGATATAACATCAGACCACCACTTGCTGGTCGCCAAGATGAAATTGAAACTCAAGAAGCACTGGACAACGGTGCGGACAATATCACAAAAGTTTTACACGGCTTTCCTTCGGGATACTGACAAACTCAACAAACTCAAGATAGTCCTCAGCGATAGGTTCCAAGCCTTTCATGATCTACTCAATGGAGAGGGAACAAATATAGAGAGCAACTGGAAAGGGATAAGAAGTAATCACTTCAACATGTCATGAGGTTCTGGGCCACAAGAAACACCATCACAAGGAATGGGTCACTGTTGACACATTGGATAACATCCAAGAAAGGAGGAACAAGAAGGCAGCAACCAATACCGAACAAAAGCAGAGAAAGTCAAGGCACCAGTTGAATACACAGAAGCAAACAAGCAGGTGAAGAGGAGCATCTGAACCGACAAACGTAAATATGTGGAGGATTTAGCAATGACGGCGGAAAAGGCTGCAAATGAAGGAAACATGATACAACTGTATGACACAACAAAGAAACTCGCCGGAAATTAGCGTAAAAAAGGACGACCAGTTAAAAGTAAGGAAGGCAAGGTAATCACCAACATTGAAGAACAGCGAAACAGGTGGGTAGAACACTTCAAAGAACTCTTGAATCGATCAGCCCTACTGAACCCACTCAACATCGAAGCAGCACCCACGGACCTCCCAATCAATGTTGGACGAGACAACATTCCAGCAGAGGCACTGAAAGCAGATGTAACAGTTAACTGCAAAGATACTCCACGTTCACTTCGTCAAGATTCGGGATGAATAACAAGTACCAACAGACTGGAATGAAGGAAACCTGATCAAGATACCAAAGAAAGGCGAGCTCAGCAAGTGTGATAACGACAGGGGCATCACTCTTCTCTTAATACCAGGAAAAGTCTTCAACGAGGTATTGCTAAACAGAATAAAGGACTCCGTAGATGCCAAACTTTGAGACCGACAGGCAGGATTCCATAAGGATAGATCATGTACAGACCAAAATCCGTTTCGGAGACACCGCATACACTAATTGTACGAAATTCTAGGATCTTAGTCGAGAAGGCCTGCTGGCTGATTTGACATAGGGTACATCAGTCAGTCAGTCAGTAACAACGTAGAACTTCGTACGTACGTACATCAGTGCGAGTTGCCACACCACATTAGCATAGAGATGCAGTGGTCGATTCAAATCCCGTAGTAGTAGAAGTAATAAGAGTATAAGCAGTAATCGGGAAGATTAGTGTTTGGAGATGTTACTTAAAGAGTATAATACAGTCAAATAAATTTGAGAGGAGAAAAAAAAGAGACAAGGAGGAATAAGGAGATCAAAATTTCTGAGAACACAAAGAGTGTATGCACCTGCGCCATTGCAAACGATTTTGAGCCATGTCATTTAGGGTCTCTAACCATCGGTTGCTATCATCTCGCGGTCCCCAACCAGGTAGTCTACACCTACCGACATGACTCAGACCACTTGTCAGTGACTTCATGGATTGGTGCCATGTTTTGGTCTGGCCGCCCCTAGCTTTCTTCCAACCTACTCCTATACCACTGAACATCGCACGTCGAGGCAGTCGGTCGTTGGGCATACGTAACACGTGTCCAAGCCATCTCAACTGATGAAGTTTCACTACATCATCAATTGATTTGCCATCCTTACCCGACCGAAGCTGCTACCTTGACGTGGTGGTGCCAGGAGAGACTGCAAATTTGCGTTAAATTCTCTTTTCTTAATGATTATTTGAATATTTCTTGAAAGCTACAGATTAGATTTTTAGGCCCGACCAAAGCTGCTACCTTGACGCGGTGGTCGGGCTTGCCTATCATGATGACCCAACCGAGCCATATTGGCTGGAACATATGTTCCTGTAGGTTCTACCATGCCAGGCAGGTCGGTTGGAGAACGGTAAGACTAAAAGCAGCAACTCAAGGTCTGAGAGCGAAGTTGTACTACTGACTGTAGAGAGGTGTGACAGCAGTAAGGTGTTTCCTCGGACAACCTGCATCTGCAGCGATGCTGCCTTCCCACAAGGAGGGGTGGGGTTAGAAAAGGTCGACCGTAAAAATGTCACACCTCACCTTACCTCACGGATTTCCGTCTCCGGTGGTAAGGCCCTTTGAAGAACGGAGCTAACACATTAAAAACCTTCCACGAAAAGGCAGTGCGCGACCGGCCTCAAGCAGTTGTCCCTTGGGCTCTGCGGTCACGCTGCCAGGTCGTTTAGACCAACACTAATTCAATTTCCTTTTCAGGTTCCTCAAGAAAAACCGTTCCATGGTGTGGGCAGCCGGGAAGTGATATCAGCCCTCATACCCGTAACAGCACACGAGAACAAGTTGGTCACATTCAAATCCTTCCTACATAGGGTACATACGTCGAAGGCTCCAATGGTTAGTTTGGAGCGAGGTTTCAGTAGGCCTGGGACAATATTTTGTGCACTAGGATCGTTGGCCATGGTGATACTTGAGTAAGAAGTTCAGAGTTGATAGTCGAGATAGGAGGAATAATAAGAATTGAAGATGGAGATTGGTTATGAATACAGTGATCTTGAGTGTTCTTAGGGGTATGAGGGCAGTTACCACTTCCCGGTTGCCCACATCCTGGAAGGGTTCTTCTAGCAGTACTAGAAAAGGAATTAAGGATAGAGTTGGTCTTAGAGACCTGTGAGCGTGACCGCAGTGCCTAAAGGACAAATGCTTGAGACCAGTCACACACGACCTTTCAGTAGGTAATTTTTGTGTTAGCTCCGTAATTGTTGAAACCTTACATTAATAAACGCAACTGTTATGCACAACTACAGAATACTTTACGGCTAAGGTGACGAAAGCAAACAAAATGAATCACCGTGCTTAATAATGAAAGTAATAGGACACCAAGCAGAGGAATTTTTTAAAAAAGCAGTAGAATTTACTGATAACAGCAGCCATCTATGTAAAAACAAGCAAATGGGTGTATAAGTAGGTGATGCATAGAAAACACTATTTCTAAACATCCCGTCACCCCATTACCACTAGCCCTCAAACCGCATTTCACATTTTCTGGTCCATATATAAATGATTGATAGCACGAATGCTTCTCTAGGCGAGACAAGATCACAACAATAATATTTGATTTCCTTTTGAAAAAATACTTTGTAGAAATCGTTACGGGGAGAAGATAAAGTCAACGGTATTACAAAAGGAAAAGTCATAATGCAAATTTGAATCAAAAAGTACGGTGTTCTCCAAAAGAGGTTTCAACACTAATAATTTGAGAGTATGCTTCAAACAAAAACCCAGGACCATATACTGCTGCAATTCCACAGACTAGTATTTGAACATGAATTGCGACCAGAATTACTATGACCTTTCTAGGGATTAGTGTTTGACTTATTTTTGGGGTCAAGCCCTAGAGCACTTTGAAAGGTCAAATGATGACAATAAAGGTTATTTTGACACAAAAATATTGTGTTCTCTGAGTGTTTCATAAACTCAAAAATAAAATGGAAGGAACTAATTAACCTCTTAAAACACATAACGATGTAAACAAAGAACAGGTTAAATTGGGGTAAAATATCATAGTGTACGAAGTGTTGAGAAATACAATGACCAACACCGAGTTATGTCATCTAATGTTAAAAGCCCCCCCTCCTCAAAGAAATAAACAATGTAAAATGTGTGGTAACAAACTGCAAGAGAAATAGAGTTTAAAAGGGAAAAGTGAATATCAAAGAACATTAAACGGGACTTTCTACACACCCATATAGAAAGTAGGATCGAAATACTCAACAATTTTTACAAATGTTGTAAACTGAAATGAAAAACTACCAAGAATTTAGTAGAAATAAGTACTGAAAGATTTGAAATGTGCAATAGTCGGTTGTATTTCTGGGTAAAACTTAACTTTGAGAACTATCAAGTACTTAATATATGGATTTATTATTTTTTATTATTAGACAGAAATACAAAAAGACTCACCTGTTTGCCATAACAGATGTATCCATACACATGAACTACCAAGCAGGTAGATCAATGTAGTAGGTACAAGGAAGTAACAAAGCAAATCAGCCATGATTGCAGTGAATGTAAAGAACAGAGCAAATGCCTAGAATGTATAAAAATGATGATTTTTGATTAGAAAAACCAAAATTAAGAACGAAGTTTTCAAGAAATTACCATTATTAGTAATGCAGCCAGTTTCTATTACATTTTTTGATTTTTAGCTGTGTTTAGCGAGTACTAAAAACTCTTGTTAACTTGGAACTTACACTCCACTAGTCAATTTCCTGAAGCTTACTCATCATAATCTGAACAAAATTTATCAAATGAGAGTCCCATGATTTACGAAATATGTACCTTAGCTGGAGACTTGATATTGATTAGTTCCTGTCAGCTTCTGAAAAATATGCACTATACTATAAATATACACCATAAAAGTTTATTGAAAAAGTGGTATTCTAAAATATCCACTTAAAGCTCCGTATATGACATAATGATCAAGTAGGCTATCATATCTTGTGTATCTGCCTATAAAGCAAATCAGAAGTCATTGTTTTGATGAGAATATCAAAACGAGCAGTAATTTTTTTATTTCAAGACATAACAAACTATAGTTTTTCTTAAGATCTAGTTTAGAGTGGCCTTCATGAAGCCTACATAAAATGCCCCCCAACGACGTGGAACAGTCGAGGGTGGAGAGAGTCAGCTCTCCCTCTCGAATGCTCTCAGATGACCACGCATACACAGCCACTATCAAGAAAGTCCTGCTCATCGCCTTCTCGCGGCAGGGGTGTTGTCTACGAAACTGAGAGGATGAAAAGCGAATGTCCAGCGCTTTAACCGGGTTGGTGTACACAGAGGGTCTACCTATGGATGTTGGAAAACCTGATTCCAAACCAGTGGAGCACATGGGCTCCAGTATCCTGAGGGAAAATGGCGTACGAACCCATATTTTGTCGCCAGCTACTATGGGACTGCATCTCCTTACGTTGCTCCATTGCCTTAAGGATTAGATCTGTAGGTCAAAGGATTGGGGAACGACCCCCCAAGAAAACCACCTGCTTCGGTTTGGGCACCCTGGTAGTATTCCAGCCCCCACGCGTATCGAATGATTCGTGTGGCGCATACGTATTTGGTGCCTCCTCGTACTAATGTTTATGTTTGGATAATAAATACATACATAAAGTACCCTGTAGTTAAAGTGATTGTAAATCACGTGTGCCTACTAATTGAACTAACAGAAGCGAATAGCTCTGCAAACTCCATATAATTATATCTTAAAATGACAAGTAATGTGATGAATCCCACAACAACTCCCTGAATAGATTTAATTCAAGTAGCCACATTCTTTGCCTTGATACAGATAACTTTTAAAAAATCTTGCTTAAGAAAAATAGTTTTGTTGGGAACGGTATATAAATACTCGCCATCCACTTCAAGATCACATTAGCAATCATACAGAAGTAGGAAGTGTTTTGCCGGTGGTTAGTGGAACCAGTTGAAATTCCTCACAAATGCCTGGATCAACACATCTTAAATTTCACTATTTTTAAAACGAGGGTACCTATGAAAGTTGATTCGATAAACAGATCATATAGTCAATTTGGTCTCATATCGGGGAAACACAGACAAAGATTAGTGAGAAAAACTAAATTACTCGAAAACTACGGCTCCATTTCGGGATGTACATAGTTTAGTATGAACCTGCACATGTTACTGAAAATATAGGGATTGGATTAGACCGTCACATTTGTAGGTGACTTGTTTATTATCCAAAGGTTTGTTCACCGAACGAAAAAGGACGTAAATCTGTGATCGGTGGGAGAAAAACGATAAAAGGGAGCAACAGTAACATTGCAGTGATAATTGTTATTGATTATCTATGAGTTGGCAAAATGATGCGAAGCTAACAGACAACAGGATTTATGAACACAAAATTGGTTTGTACTTGTTTTCCTGAAGTAATTAGTTTACGAGATATTTAAAAATACAGCCTATAATCTCTATATAAAAATTGGTGCAGGGAAACTTAGTCATCCCCCCAGAATTTGCAAACCAATCCATACAATGTACAATAATGGGATTTATTCGTTACGCAAATGACAGTTAATATTTACAAGACGAATCTTGAACGTTTTGAAGAAGAGATCCTTAAATAAATTTCCTCGAAGTTCTATATGTACTCTACATAAGAGACTGAGAAATATAAACCGTAAATATATGGCTTTTGATTGACGTCAAACTCGACAATTAAAATACGGCATACCAATGTTTCCACGTTACGAAAATTAGTTTTTAGTACTTGACTAGTGCATGAACAGCTCTTGAAATAAATTTACACAGTTGGGTTGAAAAATATTGGAAATTAATAAATGACTCAGACCAAACTAGAATGCTTACCAGACCCTGATATCTGAATGAATCATTAACTGTTCGTACCATTAGCCAACAAGACCAAATAAATTCAAAACGAAGATCCGTAAAAAAGTCCAGCATTATTATGCTTGCCCAAGCCAACAGAAGTTTAAAATAGGTTCCAAATCTAAAATTTCGGGAATCACGTTTACTATTACAGTACTCTTACTACACAGCACTACGATTTAAGTTATGGATTCTGATTTAAAGAAACAAAAAAATATTCAGCCCAACAGTAATACAATATGCTCTATTTATGAGCAGAAAAACAGTAAGCGGTTTCCTTAAAACTATAAGAGTAACAAAACCCAAACTCGAAGACTTATGCTAATTAGGTACGCATTTTCACTAAATTAAATGTTTTGTATATTCAAATGGAAAATATTCAGTAACGTTTGAATTCACGATATCAAAAGCAACATAGTTGTTCTTAGAACTGCGGTTTAGGAGTTGGTATTCTTAAACCAAACAGTTTACAAGCAGCACTGATCTTAAATGCGATATACCAGAAGTGATTTCCATCATGACACCATATGCATAATGCATGGAACTGTCTTAGTACCTAGTAAGACCATTCACGTAACCTGTTTAACGATAATCAATGAACGAAAGACAGAAACAACACACATTTGAATCATGACATATCAACTTTGGGCGAGACTCTAATTTAGGGACGAGCCAATCAGAAGCCTTCGAGCAATTTCAAGGTCACGGAGCCAAGTTCAACACGCGCTGCTAACATACGATCGGTTCACAGCGGATTTTAGAGAGTAGGTGATTAATGAGAGGTTACAATAAATGGGACAGCGAGACTTTAATTTAGGGACGAGTCAATCAGAAACGTTTGTGCAATTTCACTTATTATTCAATAAGACAGCATAAAGCAAAATATATTAAAAGAAAGTAATGAATTACAGTGGATATTCTTCTTTAACATGATTTAAAAACTCGTATGTTAGCATCCTAACCCTAACCATCACCTAACCCTAACCCTAACCTTAACCCTAAACCTTAACCCTCAACTAACCCAAACCCTAACCTAACCCTTACCCTAACCTTAACCCTCAACTAACCTTAACCTTAACCCTAACCTTACCCGTAAACCTAACCCAAAACAACGGACGAGTTTCTATTCCATATGCATCGTGAATTCAGAACCTCTGAACCTTAATCAAACTTTAACAAGTTTTTAAATCATGTAAAAGGAGAATATCCACTGTAATCCATTACTTTCATATAATATATTTTCACTTTATACTAACTTTCTTCTGATTGGCTAATAATTGTCAAGGTCAATCAAGATTCGTTCAAAGGTCGTCCTTAAATTAGAGTCTCGCCCAACTTTGTATTAATTATCGAGTAAACTTGTGTTGTTTCATAAATAATAAGTCTTTCGGATATTATAGTTTCGATTCCGTACTTAACATGACATTCATTATAACTTGTTAAACAAGTATACTTTATGACCGACTTTGACAAAGGATGAAGATAATGGTTAGCTATCCAACCCAACCAAGAACGGCAAACAAGACAAGTGCTAGAGTCGATGGACACGCCAGAAATACCCAAACAGCATGGTGAGCTTATAATTATTCGAAGCGGGAATACGATATTTATCTTCAGAGGTATATTTGGAAATCTTACGGGCGAATGTACTGGAATTTCTAGACAGAAGCTAAATAACCTGTTTTTCACAATTTTAAAGCAGCAGTTATTCATACAACAGTTACTCGCGATTGGTATTCACATGAGTAATGGCTATACTCAAAAAAAGCATCCTTCTCTAGTACATAATGAGCTTTGATGAACGTGTTCGACTGTTGAGCTTTGATTGAAAGTCCATGAAATGAGAGACCTCATTGAGTAGTCCACGCCACAAGACGTAAAAATTGCTTAATCCATATAGGTAACACACAGCTGAAGCTATAAACACACCGAGAACTGGTAAACGATTGTCAGACGAATATATCTGTTGATTAGCTTTTAGCTCTAAAGGGTAATAACGTACCTCACTCACGGCAAAGTATACGACAGTGAATAAATTTCAGCTACAAGCTTCTACAATAAGCAATACAAGTATTTATTCAATGACACCAGACCATATATCGACTTTGACAAAGGCTCTTCCCAGCCATTAATAACACTAAAACTCCAGAATTCACTTCGATTGGCTTAATCATGGGATTTTTTTAATCTAATTTCTTACGTACATTGCCTCCCCCCCTTGGATTAGAAAAAGGACTAACAAACGATTCGAAGCCCAGAACAAACACATCAGATATTTGTATCTTAGAAGATAGCGGATTTGGTGACGTTTTAGGAATTCACTAAATTATCGGTACTCATTAAAATCATCTACAACTTGAACAAGTTCAGATCTGACACAACTTCGGAGGAGTACTCTGAAGCTAGTGTTACAGAACAGAAAAACGGATTACATGTTTTCTTTCAGATCCCTCAAGTTAGTCGAACTTGAATCCCTTTAGGTTCTAGAACAGATCATGCAACTTTCTGGGCTCTTCTAACCAATACTTAATAATTTGGAACTAATATTTGCATCCGAGTCTACCAGCTTTGAGACTTTGAAAACTTACATAAAATGAAGCGATTCGTTCGATTTGTTTCTGCGATTGTTTCTTTTTATTCTTCCATGTTCATAATTCCGTCTTCGAATATACATTACTTGAGTCCAGACACATTTGACCAATTCCAATGGATTTTGAACCCCGCGCTTCTTTGTAATGGCTCGCTGAAAGCTATTCAACCATCATGTTGAGACTTTTGGAGATGAGTAACGGACACCGTCTCATTTTCCAATCGTCTTATAAGAAATTCTGCAAACAACTTAACGAGACGTTCTCATTCGATTGACAGATGAGCTGGATATGTTGACAATTGAACCACGGGACATGTAAGAGATAATTAAAATAATCCATTGTTTCGCTGAATATGGAGAAGAGAGTTCACCGAATAAAATTTTTCCTTCGACGAAATCATTTACTTAAGCTTTACATCCGTATTTATATTTATATGGAAAATGCATGTCCATAGAAGTATAGAAAAGATTGAATCAGAAATAATTCGTCACTGTTATTATCGACCGAGTTTACGCAAAAATCAAGGGGTAAGGATGAAAATAATTTACGTGTTAGATAATTGTTCAACTGACATATATGTAGTAAAACAACAAGCATAAAAGTCATATTAATATAAACTGAATAATATCGAAGAAAACTTGTATAAAATAATATTAATAACTGATTAAAGTTTAAAATTATCTAACAATGATTTTAAAAGCTAACATTTATCAGATAAAAACTGAGGAGAAAAAGTGACGAAAAAAACAAAACATAACGCTAAAGGGAATTAGGCAAAGGAAGGATGAGAGGTTGGACGAGTCGTTTCTGCATACAAAATTCGGGCTTGAGTTCGTGGATTGCCTCAGCAGTGCATAAAATATTGATTCAACATCCCTCCGATCCAATTCCTCTGACACTGTAGATTACTTTAAAAAAGAAATCCTTTGGAGCGACGTTTCCATAGTTGATTAAATGCTCTAGTATAGAACTAGTAATTGTTTTACATTCACCTTTTGAAAGCCAAGCCGGATAATGTTCTGAGATGCATTTGTAAAGTGATCGCTTTGTGCGGCCTATGTAACTTACCCTATATGAGCTAGCAAATTTATACATATACACTGATGTGGCCCAAAGCAGAAGTTTTTCCTTAACACATCCAAGAATTGTAGTTCGGCTTGCGTAAACAAACAAACTTACGTGATAAATATTTTATTATCCATATGAGCATCGCTTCAAGTTGCCACATTGGCACAGAAAAAAAACTTCATGACAAATCCCAGAGTAGCAGAAGTAGTAACAGTATCAATAATAATAAAAATGGAAATTTATAGAGTGATATCGGGACTAGGTTCTGGAAGAAAACAAGAAATAAATGTCCTTCCTCCATTAAGAACTATTTTGGAACGTGAGATTTAAAGTCCCTAACAATTAGTTGCAATAACCACGCGACCCCTAACTATGTAGTCTACAACTACCTACATGGCTAAGTCCAATTTTTAACGACTTAGTACATTGGTATTTTGTCTTACTTTGACGGCCCCTAGCGTTCTTCTAATCTGTTCTTACTCCTAAATCGGAGAACAAAGAAAGGTGATGGTTTGGCATAAGAAATACATGTCTCTACCAACTTGGTGGATGAAGATTCACTACTTTATTAATCAACTTGCCATCTTTATCCGCAACCTCGGGATTGTTTACTTGGCGGTACTAAAATCTTTCAAAGATACCTATGACCAAATGCCAGTAACATACGGATATCCTCTATCCATAATGGTTAAGTTTCACACAAACAAAGTGGGACAGAGTGAACTGCTGAGCAATAAACTCGTCCTTTGGCTGGCAGACAAAGATCTCACCTACGCCACAAGTGACGCCAGTTGGCAAAAACAAATCGAGCCCTATAAATACATAACGAAATTTAATCATACGCCAAGCCATTAGGACTGATATGACTCTCAAGATAATTGAAGCGATCGATATGTTTAACTACTTCACTCTCCATAAATAATGCAGGCGCTGGTGTAGACCAGTCCTAAAGCAACATTTTGGATTTGAATAGAAAAACGCATCCGAAATATACTTGGACTGCTGCTTAAGGTCAGGAGACCTCGGAATTTTTCAGTATCTTTATGAAACGGAACTATGCCATCTCAGTATCCCAAGTCAACAAATGAATCTCTTTGTAGATCAACTCCCGAAAAGTCAGACGATAAGAGCATTATCGCTAAAAGGTTGTCTATGACGAAGTTAAATAAAAATATCGAAAGTGGATAGCCCCAAATACAACCGCTTGAGATTGACAATTCCATATGTGCTGACTAGACTAGTAGTATTATTATTTGAAAACATAAACATTGGTACAAGGGGGCACCAAATACATACTCGCCAAACAATAACAGTGAGGTTGTGAAGCGATAGAGAATGTAGAGCGCATATAGTAAAAGAAGAACAACGAACGGAAACTAGTGTGTAAGAATGAAATTATTATTATAATGGGAGAAACAGTCCGGTTAAGATACAACCACAGAGAATGCTTTCAGTTAAAGAAGTTACGTTCACTAACATAAAGAAAGAAAAAAGAAACTGCAGCAGGATCGACACTGGCTTCTATTCTGAACCATATCTAATAAAGCCTCTAGCCGCTGTGTTGCACCATCTCTAGGACCCCAACCAAAGAGTCGTGAAGGACTAACAGGCGCCAATCCTGTACACTTCCCTTCATACCACGACACCATGTCATACACTGGCCACCTATCCGCTTTTTCCAACCAGTCCCACCGTCGGCGAATGATGCACGACGCGGAATTCTGTGGGACGACATTCGTAGGACATGTCCAAGCCACCGAAGTGACACCAAATGAATGGTTGTCACTGTGCTCGAACACACGATGCCGAACCGCTGCATTACTAACATGCTATGCAACTGGATGTCAGCAATCCTTCGGAGACAACGATGACCAAACACAGAGAGTCGTCTAACATCCTCAACTCGGCGAGGCCAGGTTTCACAAGCATAGAGCAAAACTGCTCTCACCGACGCGTTGTAGATCTGACGTTTTACAGCCAGACTAAGATCACGAAGGCGCCAAAGATGGCCCAGATTGGCATAAGCCGCTCTGGCTTTCACTATACGCCTGCGCTAGCACTTACTCAGTTATTCAGATACATGAACTTCTCGACTACTTCTATTTGTTCACCATCCAGGGTGAGTGCAGGATTAGAATCCTGCCAGTCTTGTAGACGTACTTTGCACTTCGAAGGTGCAAATAACATACCATAATCACTGGCACTGATTGCCAACTGATTAAGTGTGGATTGCATGGCTTGGACATTATCGCACAGTAACACAATATCATCCGCATACTCAAGGTCGAGAAGTCTTTCTCCAGGCAACAGATCCACACTACCATTACTTACATCTATCAGAGCTGTTTCCAGAACGTCGTGGAAAGCAAAGTTGAGAAGGAATGGTGAGATTCGACCAGGAGTGTTCGAGTAGAGTCTGTACAAGGTTAATGTACTTATTTGGTCACCCCTTGCAATGACAGATACTGCTGCAGAACCTCACAATCAGAGTGAATAATAGTCCCATCTTTTTTCGAGAAATTTTCACGAGCAGCCAGATTTTTTATGTATGTTTCCATGATAAATATGAATATTAGTGTATTGTTTCTTATCGCCGCTACTTTTTCGCTTTTGATACCCACTACTGCTCACGATCATTGAGTAGGTTTTTTATCGCCCTATGTTTAGGCTACATCCGCTACTCATCATGTTCCGATGAGTTTCTGAGCATCTATCAGTTCAGAAAACGCCGCTGAAACCCACTGATTTTTTTTAACCTTTTAGTTCAAGTTACCGCTAGATAACACTGGTGTTTGGATTCCACGCCGAGCCACCTCACGTTGGATATCAATTTCATGTTTGACTAACTCCTTCTTTAGTCGTTACTGAGATACATTCTTCACTTTTTTACCATTAAATGGAAATCTAAAGAGTTTTGTTTCCGTGTTTAATAAGGTTCAGACAAATACGTACTCGCTCATTAAATCGTGATCTGAGTTTAAACATATGTTCCACAATGAGTGACAGTCTTTAATCGACCCTCTTCACCGATGACTGATGGAAATATGGCTTGAGTTCATCGTTAAGTCGATTGAAGGGGTCGTCATGTCAGACGATGTTTTTCTTTATGCTTAAAGTTACTGCTCCCTAAAAATAAACGGTTATACGAGCATAGTTGCAGCAGACAGTCTTTTAGGTGGGCCGTGGTGTTGTAAGGTCCATCAAAGTACTTTTCAGTTTTATTTAAACTACTTACTTGCGCATCAAAATAACTTATTTCTATTACTGTATACGGGCATTTAGCCTTTTGAAAGTTGCACGTTTCCTATAAAATTCATCGTTTGCTTCAACCAAATAAAAAGAATTGGGAGCACAGGCAAAAGCAACGGTGTGTCCACATCTTTCTGAATTTGTATTATCCAGTCTGGTCGGACAGCGCACGAGCCACTGACAATCGCAGAGTACAGTTCTGTCCGACGAATGGAAGGCAGCCCTTATGTCAAGAAACACTATGATTTTTGGCCTGTGATAAGTATGACGGTTTTCAAACATTTGGCGGAGAGTGAAGATATAATCAGTAGATCCTCGACGAGAGCGAAGCTCAGCCTGCTCCCCGCGAGTCAATCTTTCTCAGGTTTTGAATAACCTACGAAGTATGACGGAAGCCAATAGCTTGGACGCAATCGGAAGCAGACTTATCCCCCGATAGTTAATACAGGAACAACATGAACCCGTTTTAAAGATAGGGACAACTATCGACTCATTCCATGACGTTGGAAAACTCTGTAGCTCCCAAACCTTTGTAAACAACGTTGTCATTTCCTTGACCAGAAAGTCACCACCATCTTTAAAAGGAGCAGGAGGTAAGTCATCTAGTTCGGGTGATTTGTAGTGCTTCAAGAGCTGGAGTTCCTTGCGGACTTCCGGCTCATTCGGTGGATCATTCGTCACCGGCCATGGGGGGCAGGACAGTCTGAACGATGTTGCCGGATCAGCAGGCCATTTGAGCTGCCCTTCGAAGAATTCTGCACATCATCCCGTCATCCTCGCAGATTTTTTCGCTCA